TTATACTATAACTATTGAACAATGATACAATTACAAATTTAATATTTCAAATTCAGATATATATATTTTTTGTATTCGAGTCGTTTCACAATCATCAAGGAGTCGAGCAACACTTCACACAGTGTTGAAACAATCGTCAGGAGAAAATTTGACCCGCCTAATTGGATGGGGTATTCCACCAAATTGGTTAAATTTGTACAGTACCTTCTAAATCCGCCAGTCTTTCCCTATGTAACCTGTCAAGCCTTCCAGTCACTCCACATAATGCCTATCGAGACCATTTCGCCCCCACAAACCCCTCTTTTCTAAGATAAATAAAAGATAAGTTAGGATAAGATTAAAAGGCGAGACAAGCTTAAAGAATGGACGACAGTGCTAGGTATACTTGGGTGTATAAAAGAAAACAATTTGGAAGATTCTAGATTCATTAGTTTTTGTTTATGTGTTAAATATTTACAATTTGTAACTTATTATTTGTAATGGCTGCAATGGAGTAAAATCACTGAAACTGACATGTTTCGGGGATCCTCTACAACCATGTGAACATGCATAAGGATCAACGACCCATACATACGACCCATTACATACATTATTTATGCGTCGATTTGTAAACAAAAATATACGAAACGCAGTTCTAAAAGAACAAAAACGAAAGTTAGAAGAGTGTGTAAAATCACAAAAGAAATTAGAGAGTACACCTGGACGAACAACACGACACGGAATTTCCACTACGCCCTCGGATTACGTGGAGGCGCTATAGTAAACACATTTACCGATAACTACGCCCACGCCCACCAGGTACTTCCAATGTTTGCATAACCCCAACTTTCTTTCCAGTCACAGACATCATTGTACTCTGCAAAAAACCATAGACCCTGTCTATGAAAAAACTGACTTCTTGTGTACGTGAGCGCTTATCTGAAAATACGTTCGATCCTGGGCGTAGTCGATAGTCGACTGTAATGAAACTACCAGCAATGCTTTTAAGTCGAGTGTAGGTCGAACGAGCATAATATCTGAATCTCAAATTAAAGGTACTTTATTTTTGCTGCTGTGAAAGACAAAATAATAATGACGTCAACAAACCTATTGTTTCCCTATAACGACACTTGATAAACATCATGATAGTACAACGATGCTTACGGTGTTATTTTACTTTTATTTTATTATTTAAATAGTCGCGAAAAATAATGTAGATTTTTTATTTTATAGTGTGTCCATGGCCCAATCAGTTCCACTCATCACGATACCTAGCCTGTATTCCATTGAACGATACTGTAAAATACGTTGAAATAGCCACATGCAATTTAAACAAATTTAACTCAACATTCTCACCGTGAGAATATACGACGTCTTCAATTAGCGAAATTACGGATTAGCTAAAACAATATGTTAGCTTAAAAGACTTGTTTTACAGTGTAAATTATGCAATAGTGAATGTACTTTAATTAATTTATCTTCTAATTATTTGTTATATCAATTTGCAAAAGTTGGATATCATGTCAACAGAGCCATGCATAAATTATCACAGTACGTTTCACGTTAAACCAAAGACTTGTTTATTTGTAGGAATATTGTTTGTTGATTATTTTAATAACAATATTCAAAAAACGAAAGCAGCTTGTTTTGCTCCTATTTCGTTTGATAATAAGGCAGTGCGTCATTGCCAGCCAATCACCACACTTGTCTAAAAATAACTGCAGATGACACCGACTGTGGTAATTGTATACGCGGGGAATTCCATGGAATTGGAGCATACCACTTTTCACGAGGTTGCCTACCAGATACCATATATTATTATTGTAAATTCAGCCTCTAAATCACTCTCCTGTTCGTGTGTTACGTCGTTATGTTACATTATATAGTGCTGTCTCATTTGTCGGTGATTTATAACGCAAAACTAGGTTAATGATTAACTGTGCACGCCGTCTCATTAATCACCCCTCCTAATATTGGTTATGGCCAGATGCAAATACTTTAGGCCCTATCTTCTGGTTAATCGGAATTTATGCAGAGCCCACCTTGCCTGTATAGTGCGAAGACGATGTCGACACCGTGGAACATGTGACTACTGTGAGTTTTATTTGATGCATTAGCATATTCCGTACTTATACGGTCGGGGGCATAACAGTCTATAGTTGTGCTCGACACGCCGCGTATTTGTATATGAAACCTCTATGTACGGCGCGGTTAAATTACACCTAAGCCAGAGTCATGTTTGTTTTTGCAGATCTTTGCACTATGGTGTCACTAAGGGTTACTCCTTCGTTAATAGATGTCAATTGACAATTATAAAGTTCAACCCTGTGCCAGACTACAATATTGTTGTGCCAGACTACATACACTGACCATCGCAGGTGTCCAAGTCATTTAGCAACATCAATTACATTCCATATTTGCGATTCCCGGACTATGAAACCATCTCACATGATTCACAGTCAATTCGTCCCAATTCACTTTCGTCCCAACACATTCGTCCCACAAGTCGATTCGTCACAATTCACATTCGTCCCACGAGTCGGTCGATTCGTCCCAATTCACATTCGTCCATTTTTTAAATTTTTAGTCAGCATTACGATCTTGAACAGGGTCAATTTCTATGCCAACTGTTACTGACACGCTAACTAATAACTCCACGTTGCGTGAACGGTGTATTTGTATTTATTAACTAATAACTTGTACGTTGAATGTCCGGTGTATTTGTATTTATTAACTAATAACTCTACGTTGCACGCAAGGTGTATTTGTATTTATTAACTAATAACTCTACGTTGCACGTAAGGTGTATTTGTATTTATTGACTAATAACTTGTACGGTGTATTTGTATTTATTAACTAATAACTCAGCGTTGTACGTAACGCCAGTATGGACACAGACCTGTTGTATACAGAGCTTGGACTACAACCAGACACTTCAGTTGGAGCGCTAACGAGCGAGTAACTCCGTTTATTTCTCAACGGGAAAACAGAACCAACATGGCGGGGAAAACACAACGAGGGAACAGAGCATGCGTAGCAAAATGTAAAGCGAACACAAGAGGGCGTTAACATGATTGTAAATACAATAAACACACATAGTGGCGTAACCACTTATTGTCTTTAACTTACATCATTTTCGAAAAGACTAAAGAAAACGCATGAGGAAAAATGACAGGCAACATGATAATTCAAAATTGTTGTTGGAAAGACACAAAAAATAATCTAAACTGAATACAGACTTAAAAGTCCATGACATAGTCTTTTAGATGTTCCGGAAGCCGGCGGTTACGGCTTGATCGTCTATGTTGAACGGGCTGCATGACTTTTGGATTATCATCAGCCAGGGATGTTGGTGTCTGGTCTCCAGGAGTCAACAATATTGGGTTTATTGAGCCAATACTTTGCGACTCAGTTTCTAAGGGAGTGTCAGTGCACCCTGTTGCCGGTGTTAGATCGGAAGGTATACTTGGTGGTATTGGTGGATGTGTTGGAGATAGTGGAGTGTCGTCTTCGTCCAGATGATATGACATAGGGTTTTGATCAGTGTCTTTCGGAGAAGGTACGATATAACATTCCGACTCTTTGACACGGTATGACGTTTGCCTGAGTTGACTACCACGGAACTTGCCGGA